AACCAGCTCGGACGGATGGCGGCGGCGCGCGTGTGTGGTGATTTTTGGGTCCAATGGGTCTAACCCATTTTGCCCATAACCTCTCCCTCTAAAACACTTGGGTACCCCTTGGGGCACACCCCAAGTATCTCACCCTAAGCCTTATAAACCCTTTCAAAACTTCCCACCAAATCAATGTGGGACAAGCTAATTTACCACCTTAAGGAATTTCCACCAAAACTCCATTTCCATGGAGCACACTCTGGCTTCAATTTCTCATTCACTCGGTAATGGTTTTGAGCAACCAAATATACCACGTGAATCACAACGCGGCATAGAACGCGTTACCACTTTGACCCATGTAAATCGATGCACGGGACCCACCTAAAAAATAGACCAAACTTGAGAAAAAATTCTGGTTTTACCCAGAATTTTTCTACCATTTCCAACAATATTTTCTTAATACACGCATCTATTAATTTATTTATTCATTAATTTTCTCAATTCACACACTAAAAGTTACAATTATATCCTTTAATCATAATTATTGTACACACACCATTTAATACTCCTTTTCACACACTTTTGATTTACCCAACTTCCACATTTGCAAAGCCACCCACCCACGTGAAGAGCCTTGAAGACCAAAGTCAGATTTAAGATTGTTAGATTCTCCATAATCGTCTTCGATATGGTTGACCCTTCTTTGCTAGGATCAGACTGGATTGTTTTATTAAGCAATTCTGGTTTGATTTTGCTTGATTAGATGTTGTTTATGCCTCCGAATGGGTTACTCTTCGTTGCTGCTAATTTTGTTGTGCTTCTTTTGTTTCTTTCACCATTGTTCTGTCTTCTGTTATATCTTTGTTGTGTAATGATGCATTTTTTTTTTCACCATCGCCTTTGATCTATTATTGCTTCATTATAATTTCTTCCCATCAATAAAATCTCTCTTTTTCTCTGATGAAATTTAAAAAAAAAAAAAAATAACTAAGCATTTCTGGCAAGACTTGGTACAACTCTTCCATATCAAAATTAAACAAAACTTATGGACTAATAAGAAAATGATATAAATAATAGAGTATAAACTTAGAGATTAAAGTGATATGAAAGATGTTTAGAGTATTGCTTTGTAATAGAGGAATATAGAGTGTGTAGCAAGCAAATTGACAACAATAGAAAAATTAGGGTTTATTTTTTTAACTTAAAAGGTGTACATTGAGATTTTTTTTGTTCTTAGAAGATGTGTAGAGAATTTTTTTTTTTTTTATATAATATTATGGGTGTTGCTAGATGTTTATTATGATCATTTTAATTTATGATATAATTTCTATTAAATTAAAATTTCATTAAATGTATGTTCTAAATTAATTAAGTGCATAAAAATAGAATTTTACCATATCAATCACTAGAGGATAAGTGGATAACCATCGCAATCTAAATGAGTAAGCAAAGCAAGTATTTCAAAAGAAGATTTTACTAAGTTGTTGAATTTGAAACACAATCTCAAAAGAAAAATATCATTATGATGAGTCAGAAGGAATGTCTAATTAAAAGAAATTTTGTTATTGAAGTTGCTCTCCTATGAATTTACTTATTATAGAATTTATATAAATAATGGGATGACATTTTGTATAATATTTCTCAATGCGCTACATACACAGAGAAAAAAGAAGATAAAAAAGAAAATGCAATATGTGAATTATATTTATTTTAAGTGGCGTTCACATCACATTAGATTTAAATTTTACTTTGTAAACACTTTTTTTAGGTAATTTTTCTAAAATATAGAGTGAACAACATTGATGCCAGAGGAATTGCTTGTAGTAGACTAATTTAATCTATTTCAATACCTTTTAACCAAAAAAAAAATAAAAAAATAGAATAAATGTAATATGATCGGAGCTGAAAAAAAAGCATCCCAAAGAAAAAGTTATTCAATGTCATTGGTTGTACTCACGTGATCTCGCTCTTGGTTTATATGGTAGTCACGTGAATTCTACAAAAATTAAGGAGTAAGACGTGTTCGTGATATTGTCACATTTGACACTGAATAATTTTGACTAATAGTGCATAAGGCTATTATTTATATATAATATGTCATTTTGTAACTACACTACAAAAATTAATAATATAAATCATAAAATGACAAATTTTCTCTTAATTTCCATTCTCTTTTGCTTTTCACCATTTTTCCTTTGTAATCAAGGGGAGTATAAGAGTTGTAGCTTCATATATCATATGAAATATCATTTATCTATTTCCTTTAGCTGTAAATGTGTGAGAACTATAAATAGAGTTGAAAGTTACAATATGTATTCTCAAATTTTAGGGAAGTTTGGAGAACCAACTAAAAATCAAGAAGTTGGGTCACTTTAGACCTCATTATAATTAATAATTGCATAATTGGCTAGTTGTCAAAAATCCAAGTAAAACTTCAAAGTTCAAAAAATTTACACTAGTCTTGTAGAAAACAAACAAATACTACTATTACTAGTACTACTATTTTACCATTTTTGGCAACGATAAAAAAAAGAAGAAGAAGCCCAATGATGAAATAGAGGTTAGTTTGGTGTTTATGTGAATTTATTGTATTTACAGTTATAAATGTATCATATCAGATAATAAATTAAATGTAATATAAAAAGACGACAACCGTAAATTATTGATCACTAATCTTGAAACTATGACCAAACACTCATTTTTTCTTCCTCAAGGTCTTAGACAACGCATCTTTTTATACTTTTCTTTTTTGAAATTTTACTTTGCTAATTTTACCTATATTTGGTAAAGTTGATTTCTTATATGGTTGAACAGCATACATATGTTTATTACTTTTAAGAAAAGAGCATAAGATGAACGTGGTAATTATTTTAAGCTAAAGTATAAGATGAAATTGAGGGGATATATTTTGTTTGAAATTAAGCAATAATAGGCTCAATATAATGAATTTGTGACTCATCATTATGAATGATGGGTTCACAAACACCCTTTCAGTTTTGTTTTGTTTTTTCTTTTTTTCAAATTTAAGGTCAATAAAACAGAGAAGTATTGTATAATCAAAAAGTTTTGCAAGTTACCAACTGATATGTATAATCAATTACTTTTAAGAAAAGAGCATAAGATGAACGTGGTAATTATTTTAAGCTAAAGTATAAGATGAAATTGAGGGGATATATTTTGTTTGAAATTAAGCAATAATAGGCTCAATATAATGAATTTGTGACTCATCATTATGAATGATGGGTTCACAAACCCTCTTTCAGTTTTGTTTTGTTTTGTTTTTTTTTTTTTCAAATTAAAGGTCGATAAAGCAGAGAAGTATTGTATAATCAAAAAGTTTTGCAAGTTACCAACTGATATGCATAATCAAGATTATTTCATGTAGTTATTTTTATGATCTGTTGTGTCTGTAATTTTATTATTATTATTTTTTTTTAAAGGTGTATGAAAGTGATTATAATAATATGGGGCTTTCTTGTCATTTGTAGTAATTGTATAGGATAAAAAGAGTTTGGAAACTCAGCAAATATTTGGAAAAGGAAAAATGCTAGAGGTCCTAAATTTTCTACCAAATAAATGACCAAATGTCTCACATGGGTATGGGCCCCACAAAATTGTGGACCCCACACCCATGTGAGACATTTGATCATTTGTTTGGTAGAAAATTTGGTGTCTCTAACATTACTCTTTGGAAAAGTTGTGCCTTTTAAATAAGCATATTAAACCAAATATTCAAACTGTTCAGACTTGCACAAATTATGGAATGGTAAAGATTTCACTAATTAATTAATTTACTAATTTAATATAATAATAATATATTTGAATTAATTGGAAAAGCTTCCACTTGGATTGCAACTGTAACCCAAAGAACCCCACTTTGTTTTAAAGCCTTAGCTCATGCTTCCTTTTTCTTATCTCTCTTTAAACTTTTTATCTGATATATGAAAAGCAACTAGTTCCATTAATGGCCACTTTCAATTTAAATAGAAATTAAATCTATCCAATATGTGTCATTTTTTTTTTTTTTTTCTATTTACAATTGATAGGAGAAGAATATGAGGAGAGAAGTTACAATTGTAACAATAAAACTCTAATTCAAACATCATATCTGATAAGAAAGTGTTGCATTCACTGAGTCAACTCATTCTTTTGCAAAGTCATACATAAATGATATCTATTTGAGAAAGAAAAAAAAAATTGCTTAGAATTTGAAATATTTGCAGCATTCAAAATAATTTTGATCCACATATTTTAGATTTGGAGTAATTTTTTAAAATATTTTTTTTCCTCCCTAATCTACAAGGCAAGTAGTAGTTGCTTTGCTAATTATGTCATCAATTGGTCCCATTAAAATTCCATAAGCAAGTTGTTCCATTAATAAGAACTCAAGCTTTATCACATCATCATCATCATACATGTGAATTTAAAAAAAGGACTTAAAACTTCCGCTAAGCCCTCATTTGGGATGAAGATTTTGAAGATTAAAAGGTTGAAATAGTTACAAAAAGATAAAATAAATTAAAAAATTAATAAGATAAAATATCACATTCAAATCATAACAAGTTCATTTTTTCTCTCAAAAAATCAAAAAAATTAAAAAATTAATTCGAAATGAGACTTTTTAATCTCAAACTAATTCACATCCTAAACGAAACCTAAACACTGTTTGGTCACACCAAAAAGTGCCAATAAGCTAAGTACGCACTTTCTCAGCACCTCTCTCCTCTCTCTTTGAATGGGTGGGCCACTCACAAAGATTAGACAAAGTTAAAAAAGTGTTTTGTCTGACTCATGATGACGTGGAAGGAGCCTAAAAGAAAGACTGAGAGAAGGCCTTGTGTGACCAAGAATATTGGATTAAACCCTTCAAAACCAACAATCAAACTGTCACAAATACTAATTTGGCGGGAATTAACAGTTTTTTTAATTAGGTGTGAATTGGTTTGGGTTTGTGGGTCCCAAATCTTGGAATTTTTGGGTTGGCTTCAGACTCATGTAATCAACCTTTCGGTGTTCAAGTTTTCGGACCTTTGTCACCTCCAAAACCTTATATAAGCCATCCCACGCTCCTCTGTTTTTACTCTACTCAATCTCGTCTCACTCTTTTCTATATACTTTCTTTTATCAAATTATTTTCCGGGTCACAAATTTTGAACTCACCCACTCAATAATTTTCAATTTTAACAAGTTTTGAGTTGTTTTGGCTTCTGGGTTGTACAGAAAGTTTAAATTTTGGAAGTTGTAACCAATCTTTAGGAGTTCTTGCCCTGTTTTTTGCTCTGTTTTTCATATTAGGGAAGATTTGGCTTTGTGGGTATTGTTGAAATTTTATCTTTATCCAGTTTGTTTTTATTTTTGTTTTTGGGGTCAAATTTCAAAGGGGGGGTTGGAGGGGGAAACATCATAAAGCAAAAATAGTGAATTTTTAGAGGAAAATGATTCCGTTGCACAACGGGTGCATTTTGTGGAAATTGTTTGCAATTCTTGAGAAAAAGTATTGTGTTGAGAAAAGCTTTTACTTTTGGATCTTCCAAATTTTTAATAGACTTAGCCACCACGGGGTTTATATATAGTTCTAAAAAAATTTCTAAGCTTCTCTCTCTTTTTCTGTTTTCATAAATTTTGGAGATTTTTATTTGTTTGGGAAGTGAGAAAATGGGAGGAGCATCATTGCCACCAGGGTTTCGGTTCCACCCAACCGATGAGGAATTGGTTGGGTATTACCTAAAGAGAAAAGTTGAGGGACAAGAAATTGAACTTGAAGTGATTCCTGTGGTTGATTTGTACAAATTTGATCCCTGGGAGTTGCCAGGTATTTGTTCTTCAAGATATTCAGACACAAATTCTTTACATACTTCATTGCCAATTGTATGTTATTTTGGGGGTTCAATGAGATTATATCTGTTGATATGAACTGTACATAAGGTATTTGAAGTAAATCCTAGGAGAATTTTATATACATGTTATTGGTTTGATGGTACATGAACAACGGCTTCATTTATCTTCAATGAATTTCTCTTCTTCATCATTTTTTTTTCAAATCTCAGATCTGTCTCTATTTGTTTTTTTTTTTTTTTTTTTTTGTAATGACATTGAGGTTTGATACCAATTTCAATGGTAGAGAATTGCTGGTGTTGGAAAGTTGTTGCTTTTATGTTTATCCGTTTGTTTTCTATTCTACTTTTGTTCTTCTTTATGAACTAAACCATCCACAAGAAGAATGTGTTTGTCGTGGGGCATCTCACTTTTTTCTCTTCAAAGCCGCTTCTATCGGATTTCTTGTTTTTCAAACCAAATGTCATGAGGAAAAAAATAAAGAAAGTGCAAACTTCAACAGTAAAAGTTTCTCATTCTTTTTCAGTTTTCTATTTGGATTTTATGTCTGTTAATGTACACTAAACCTAACCCACTAACCTAACCCACTACATCCACCCCACTAAACCTAACACACTTACCATCTCCACTACCACCCACCACCTCCACTACCATCCACTACCACCACTCACTAACCCAAACCCTCTCCTATATAATGCCACTCTGATTTGTAATACAATACATCAAAACAACACAACAATCTTGTAATACATCAATCATCAATCAATCAATAATACATTTATTTTTACAATGTCATTGGGAATTTGAAGATCTTGATATGTAAGCCATGAATTGCAGAGAAATCATTCCTTCCCAAACGCGACATGGAATGGTTCTTCTTCTGTCCCCGGGATAGGAAATACCCAAATGGATCGCGCACAAACCGTGCTACCAAAGCTGGCTACTGGAAAGCCACTGGTAAAGACCGGAAAGTTGTTTGTCAGTCTTCTGTGACTGGTTATCGTAAAACCCTAGTTTTCTACCGTGGAAGAGCTCCAATGGGGGATCGAACAGACTGGGTAATGCATGAGTATCGCCTTTCTGATGACCTTTCTCAAGGATCACCATGTTTTCAGGTAATTTTAGCAATCTCAATTAATGGGTTAGCTTAAATTAATAGCTAGTGTTCACTGAATTGTCTGAATTTGATATTCAGGGAGGTTATGCTTTGTGTCGTGTCATTAAAAGGAACGACAACGTGCAAAAGACTAGTGATAAGCAAGTTGGAAATAGTTCAAACAATGGGGATTTCACTTCAACTAGAATTTCAAGTGAGCCTGTGATGATCTCCGAGGACATGACCTTTCAATCGAGTCACCTATGCAATGGGAGTAATTTTTCGAGCCCTGTTACTTCTCCATATCAGACTATGCCAATTGTGGAGAATGATACATTTTCAATGGGGACGAATCGCAGTAGCGTCTGGGTATCACCCGATTTAATCCTTGATTCATCTAAGGTACAAAAAACTAATTCTTGACTCATTGCTGTATTTTCACTACCGGGCATTGAGGTTCATCACGAGAAATTTCTCAAACATTTGTGTTTATGACTTGACACAGGAATACCCACAAGGACAAGGTGTGTTTGGATACTATCTGCAACACAAGTTTCCAAACATGATGACTCAATGGCCGCCACATAATCAGTATGAAATTTCACCCAGCTCGTCCTACTCAAATTTCACGGAAGAAATTGAGGTCGGTGATGACCTCAGTCGATTTGGTTGCATTTCACCATACTCATCAGGACACACAAACTACATGGGCTTTTGTGGAAATGAGGATAATATGCCTTACGAAGGTTATGACTGGACCAATTCACTTAGAAATCAAAAACACTTCTGAAAAACAGAATGGGAGTCACTGTACTTCAATTTTATTTTTTTCCTTTAATGCAGGATTTGAAACTTGGGATCAGGCTACAATTCATAGACAAGGTAGCGGAGATGGGAGTTTGGGGGAACTTGGCGGTCTTTGGTCGCAGGAAGATAATATGGTTATTGTGATGTGAGAATCTGCAAAAAGTTGGATAACCCTACTCAGTTTTTGACTAGTAATAATCAAGACTGGTGCCCCTGAGACAATGATTTTTTAATATTGATCTTGGAGTGGAAAACTATGGTATTGGTATTGGTATTGGTATTGGTGTTTGGTGCTGGTGTTGGTGTTGGTATTGGGTTTTGAGTCTACTCTTGTTAGCAATCCCCCTGGTTATGATCACTTTTATAGATTGCACCAGGAGTTGGAACATTTCATCATGGCGATGCTTTGTCGTGTTGTTGAACATTTTGATGTTTAAATGCTGTATTTTTCTCTGTTTAGTATAATAAGGAAGCATCTTTATCAAATTTCATCAGAATGCTTATTAACCTATGTTCTGGAACATTTCTATCCTAACCAAAGTGTACTCAGTCGTGTCTGAATACACTTTGGTTGTAGTTTGCTATGATCAATCAATCTCTATGCTAAGTGAATTTTTTTGGGAGTTTATACAATCTGAATAGTGATACAAGTGGAAGGATAGTGAATGGCTGTACTAGTAAAATTGCTTTGGAAGCTTGTGGTTTTGTTTTGTTTCAACTTTGGTGGCTTCTGTGATCACCTATTTCAACAACTTTTAAAACATAAGGAACTTGTAAAGAGGAAGGTTTTGACCTTTTATATTAGACGTGAACTAGTTGATGATGTTGTTATAGGGAAAAGATCAGAATTGCTACAAGTTCATACATGGTTTTGCTCTTCTCTTCTTGGCTACCAAGATTCAAAAAGGTAAAATGTGACGCAGTGAGATGTCAACAAGTGGCATCTCAAATGGTCACATCCCATCATCATCCCACTCACCAGAGAGGTTTGTGGAAGAAGTAGATTTTTAGCTGACGTGGCAATATTAAGGTAAATGGTCATGTCTAGGAATGATGTCTGGAAATTGCTATAGGTTCTAAATTTTCTACCAACTAAATGACTAAATGTCTCATATAGGTGAGGAGTCCATAAAATTACGGATCCCACACCCATGTGAGACATTTGATCATTTATTTAATAAAAAATTTGATATCTCTAACATTATCCATAATGTCTTCCTAAACCTAATCTCGAGTTGGAGGGTGATGGCCGTCCTCCCCCTCCCCCTCTCATTCGTATAACTTGAGAGAAGAAACACAAATACAATATTTCATTAAATAATAGAGAAAACACAACATATTTAATCCACATATATAAAATGTTGCACATTCATTAACATTAAAAATTGCCACTGTGATTTAGTTTTGTGTTCTTTAAACACTACTTTAAAAGGTTATATATAACACTGCCAATGAAACTTATATAAGGGTTGAGGCAATTTTTTATGCAACACCAACCAATGTAAAAGCACCCTAACAACATTCAGTGGTAACACCTACTACTACTTTGCTATGAAGAATCGAATATATGTGTTCCTGGTGTCCTTTGTTTCTTCATGCAACAAAATATTGATAGATTTTAATAATAAATATCCTTTTTGACGGATTTCTTTCTCTTTTTGGTCTGCACTCTATAAATTTATGCTCCACACGGTTTCAATTGAAAATAATTTCCAAGAAAGGGACTTTTTCTTTAGTGTTGAATGAAGCTTTGAACTAGTTAAATGTTTTTCTAAATCACAATGGGTTGATTGAGCTGTAAAAAATTGATAATAAAATTTAAAGTTCCAAGTTCGAGTCACTCCAATGGGTTAGTAAAACTGTGTCCGGTCATTAATTTCAAATGCTCACGATTAATCAAGCTAGAAACAACTTCACCTAAATACTCAGTTATTTAAATAAATTAACATTTGGAAATCCAAAAAATACAAAAAGAAATCATTTCAAATATGCGAAAGGGTGTGAAGTCAGAAAAAAGGCTGAAACTATAATAATGACTCGTGGGCTAAACTTTTATCTTTTGGGGTGGGCTAAACTTTTATCTTTTGGGTTGGGTTTTTGTACAAACTATTATAGAATAAATATAATATTTACACCATTTCGCAACAAGGGTCCTTAGCTCAGTGGTAGAGCATTCGACTGCAGATCGAGAGGTCACCGGTTCGAACCCGGTAGGGCCCTATCGTTGTTTACTTTTTGTTTTTCTTTTCTCTTTGTTCGTTGCAACTAAAATTAATTTTATACAACTAATCATATTTGGTGTTATATATTTATATTGAGATGCTGTCTATAGAATTATTCCCCAAAATTTGACTACCAAAATTTTAAGGTTGGTCTCCCACCCTTCAATAAGGTAGTTATTTAGTAGTCGCCAATGGTCTTCTACTCTTTAATAAGGTAGTTATTTAATAGTTGTAAAATATTACATGACTTCAAATTCTTTAATAAGGTAGTTATTTAATGATTGCAAAATATTACATCATGACTTTAAATTAATTACGTAGTGAAAAGTTTTATAAGTGTGATAGATTAATATACTTTTTTTATTAGACAATAAGGAGATAATAATAACTTACTATTATTGTGTTATAGTTTTTTTAAATTGAGAGCATATTGTACACAATACCTTATAATATTCTAAAAACATTTAATAATTTTAAGTCAAATATAATCTTATTTGGAAAAACTATAAATCTTAAACGGTTTAACTAATACAATTCTTATTAAACGAATACATATATAGTAAATTTGGTGATTAGCGTGGTATCCAAACATGATGTTTGAATTCAAGTCTTATATTACTGTGAAAATTCATCTAATGCAATTCTTACTAAACTAATTCATATATATTAAATTTAAAAATAAACCATCTATAACCATCAACATAAAGAGTAACATGGTGTTCTCGTTACAAACGTAAAGTTTGAATTCGAGTCTTATTCCTCTTCTATTCCCCCTCCTATTATAACTGAAAACAGAAATAAAGAAAATAGAATAAAGAAAAATATTTGGTAACTCAAATTTGTGTGGTCCAAATGTATCAAAACAAGAACGTTTTAAGACATTCGAGTCATTCGGATCATGAAAATTCGACCTACCAAATATTATTGTGGAATAAATATAGAAGTATATATTTAGATTCTAGACCTCCCCCATGCTAATCTAATCCATGGGAAGCCAAGTTCTCCATTTTAGGTCTCTCACGAGTGACGACCACAACTTCATCATCATGTTTGAACTCTTTAAAGCAAGCTACCCTCCCCAACTCTTCAACCTCCTCAATAACAAGCTCAAGCCTAGCCACTACCTCCACAAGCAAAGAAGCAAAAGCAGCAAAAGGAAGCGCTTCTGAGAACTCAAGGCTAGTAGTGATAGCACTCCTACTCAACGTCGGCCTCAAAACCTTCATCTCCTTCTCAGAAGTTCTGCTTAACAATGCTGACGTGTTGGTTTTCACGCTCGATAAGGAGACCCCGAAGTCCTTGTCGTATTTTTGACTGGCTGTGGCAGCTGCTAGGGCTAGCATGGTGGAGGAGGTGGTGGTGGTTCGGCCGAGGAAGAGACGTGGTTGGGATTTGAGGGCGGTGTTGAGGTCTTGCAAGGCCTGGTGAAGGTGGTCGGAGAGGATCTCCGGCGACCATTGGCGGCGGTTACTTATGCTTTGAGAAAGTTCTAGAAGGGCTTTTGATACTTCTGCTGCAAGGCGAATGCATGGGTCTTTGAAGAGGGCTCGGACTGTTCTTGGTGTCTGACCAAAATTGAAACAAGTAACGCAAAAAAGGAAAATTGCAATTCAGTAAGTTTTCAAAATAAATTATAAATCAGGGGTAAAGTTTACTAATTTTAGTCATCCCAATTATCTATTTTCTCATGTTCACCAAGCAAATTATTTGTATATAAAAAAAAGTGTTAGTGCCAATAAATTTCAAAAATGTGATTTTATGAATGGTTTATTTTTTTCTTTTTTCTTGTGAATCTAAAAGTATGAGTGAAAATTATACAAAGTGGTGTTTTGGGAAGTTGGTAAAAAATTGATTTTTTAGTTTTTTTTTAGCTTTTTGACTTTTTTTTGTTAAAAAAATAGAGAGGTGATGTGACCTAAAAAATTCAAAAAATCAAAAAGTTAAATTTTTACTATGTTGCCAAAACGCCCCAAAAGGGTAATCACTTAAATGTTTTGGTCTAATTTTTTAGGGATAAAAGTGAGTTTTTCTAAATATAAAATTACACATTTAGTCAATTCACCCTATAGAACTTTTGGATTTTCTTTCCTTCTGAAACAAATCCCACATTATGAATAAAAACGTAAAACTCCAATGTAATATTTCAATAACGTAACACTCCAATATAATATACTAAAAAACTACTTAATGTATTTTTTCCAAACATAACATCATAGTTTGAAATTATGCATTTACCCAAAACTTACTAAGGAATTTTTATACTCATTTTGGAATGATTTGAAGAATCTCACACCCTTTTGGAATGGTTTGAAGAATCGTACATCTTTTTTTTAGAGTATTACATTGGAATATATTAATTTTTTTTTTTTGTGTGTGTGTTATATTGAAGTGTTATACTAAGGAGTTTTTTAGAATATTACATTAAAGTGTTACGTTTGAGTGTTACATTGAAGTATTATAGATTGAAATTATATATTTGTTCAAAATTTACTAAGGAGTTTTTGTACTCCTACATCCTTTTGAAATGTTTGAAGAACCTTATATTTTAAGTCATTGCAAATAAAAAAAAAAAATCCACATAAAATTCATTTCAAATTTGATTTTCATAGGTTGTGTATCTTGTCTTTTTAGTGCGCGCGCGCGCGCACACACAGAAAAACAAAAAACAAAAAACAAAAAACAAAAAACAAAAAACAAAAAAATTTAAAATTTAAAATAAGAGTATAACCATAAATCTAATTTTCCAATAATATTTTAAATCTACCTTCCAAAATCAATGGGACTAATTAGTTTATAAGAAAACTCTTGGGACTAATCGGATTAACATTTCTCAATATGAAATTTATAGGTAAATTTTATTTTAATTGGGTTGATTAAATATCAGCAAATCATATTTGTTTCTAAAAAAATAAATATTCTATTTTTTTTTTTATAAATAAATTTGATCTATATGGCTATTAATGTTCGATCTACTAAATTTTTTTTTTTTGAAGAAAAACTCTATTTATACACGAAATTCATAAAATAAAATAAAATAAAAACTCCACAAGAATAATTTAAAAATACCATTCTTATAAATAAACTCAACATCGTGAATGTTTTTGTCTTAAAGTGCAGTTTACATTTAACTAAATCATTATGTATATATATTTCATGTTTGTGTACCATTATTTTTTTTTTAAATGAATAATCTATTCAAAAGCAATAAAAGTTGAAATGTGGAGATCATCAAAATGAACCGTTGTAGCCCCACAACCCATGGATTGGAGGGAAGTTATATCTTTTTAAAAGGTTAATTTTTATTTATTTATTTAAAATTACGAGAACAACTATATGAAAACAGTTGGTCAAACAAATCCTTATACAAAAAAAAAAACAAAACAAAACAACCAAATAAATTAGGAATGAAATTATACCTGAATCTCAGTTTGCAAACAACCATGAAGAGCAACAATTGAGTATCCAAAATGGCGAAGAGCAGATCCCAATTTGACATATTGCTGCCATGGATACCTACAATGTCTTGAGTGCCTTGGCTCCCAGCTTGCATGCATTGCCTACACGCACACAGTTCATCATCATCATAACACATATCATTTTCTATTTCCACCAACAAACATGGCACATTCATACTCTTTTTAGTCCTCCAAGATGTTGAATTAATTACCAGAGTCTCATCATTAGATTTAGATTCCAATACTGCCTTGTAACCCTTGTAAATTAGATCTTCTGATGATGATGATGATTTTTCTCTGCTTTCTTCTGTCTCCTCCTCATCACTAAAATATTCATTCACACAAGCTGCAGTTTTTCACATTAAACATTATTATGCTTTGTGTATATATATAGAGTTCGGGTATGGATTGAAGAGTCCAGTCTGAGCTCTCAAATTGTGCCATGTCGGCATGTTTTTTTTTATAAAATTAAAGGTTAAGTTTTTATCCATCCACTCACAAATTCAATATTAGATCTGCGCAAAAATTTGATCCAATATTAAATAGGTTAATAAATAGACAAAAAGTAAACTTTTAATTTTAAAATATTCTGAGTATGGCACGCCTTGTCCATACTCAGACTGGAGAGAGGTGATTCTCATAAATAGCAGGGTGGCTAAACAAAATAAGTGTACTTATTTCATCTTTTTATCTTTTTTGGGTCACATCAATCAACATCTCCTCTCTACTTTTTCTACATATAATACAATAAAAGTCAAAAAGTGCACTTATTTAGTCTTTCCAAACTAGGCCTAAATAACAAAAAAAAAATATTAAGAATGTACATTTGCTAGTATACATTATTTTCACCAAGGATGAAACGTGGAGCCAGGAAACTAAATCAAAAGTGACACTTAGGATTAGTTTGGGATATTCCAAAAAAGTATATTTTTTGACTTATTGGCTTATATGGGTTGAGTTTGGGTTGGGTTTGATGTGATGTGTTAGAGAGGTGATGTGATTTAAATAAGATGATGTGACTTAAATAGGATAGTGACTTTTTGACTTTTTGTATTATTTAGTAAATGCCAAACTTGACCTTATTGATTACAACTTTAATTTTTTTTCCATAACCAACAATAAGAAGATAATAATAATTTTTGAATTAATATTAAGTACAAATATTTAAATAAATTATTACAAAAGCATTCTACATAAAATTTTACAATTAATTTCGAGTAAAACCGAAAAGAAAGTATTGCATGTAACTAGTGTATCATGGACAACATAACAAAGTCATATATTTAAGTCTTAAAATAAATTATATGATGGCAAGATAAATTAAATTTTTATAAAATTTGAGTAAAAATTTCATATAATAGTGATATCATGTCATTATTGACATATCATGATATCACCAACTAATAGTAAAGCAACATATGAAAGGTAAACTCCACATGCAGATATAACTAACACTCTAGTAATTGTTACATATATATAGTGAGATTAATTATATTTGCATATCAATAATGATAGATATTACCTTTATATTGAGATTTTTTCACAAAATTTTCATGCATAAAAATATAATTTGTTACAGTCACTTCATTTTCAATAAAACAATAAAGTTAAAAATGCCCTTGACATTTTATTTTGAATATTATTTTTGTTTAAAATTTTATTTATATAAAAAAAAAAATCCAAGAGGGGCATGTGACCCCCGGTCACCATGTGGCTCCGCCACTAATGGAACATAGGAAAATAACTAAGGCCCCAGCGGGGTGACCCCCACCATCCCCATTGTTTTTTCATTGACTGAAATATATGTATATATATATTTTTTGTCTTGCTATCACACAGCCCCACGTGGAGGTGGGGGTGCTGGGGTCAGTGGAACATATTGTACATTTTGAATATTTGTTGTGATTTAATTATGTAAAGTTAACTCTCTCCATTATACATGGCAATCATCACCTCAGTCAGGATCGCAATTTTTATAAATTAATAGAAGATTTTGTTCACTCATTCACGAACTCAATATTAGAACTGAGTAAGAATTCGATCCAATATTGAATAGGTCAATAAGTAGACTTTGATGACATTTATTTCTAAGATTACATTTCTGAGGGCACTATACAATATTTGGATATATACCTTGAATTGATTTAGCTAAACCTTCAAGCTTGGAGACAGTGGAATTATGGAGGTCTTCCCCAGACCATTTTGGGAAAACTAAGACAGCCATAAAAAGGCAAATACTGCAACCAATGGCAATTGTGTAAAATCGCTCTTGAGCCATCTTCAACACATTTTCAACTCTGTAGCTTGACACTGTGATCAAATTGAATGTCAACAGAAATATCATAACCCCATAGTCATAGTTCTTCTTTATGTAGGGTATGAATCTTGTGTATGTTGATGCACTTCCTGTCAAAAGAAGGATTAAACAAAAAAAAGAAAAAAAAAAAATTGTAAATCTTAGGCCACTAAATCTTAGGACGCTATATGTCCTTTTAAGGGTGCACCATATAACAAAATTATGAGAGTTAGTAAATACTCTGGAGGTGGGTTCGGGATCATTATAAATGTTAGGCCACTAAATCATATTTGTCACTATACATTCAGGTCATGTTTGATTCATAAAATTAATAGTAAGGATATTAATAATTTTATCAAATTAGTATGGTGTTCACTATTCAATTGGATTAGTAGGATAAATTATTTCCTTATCCATTGTTTGATTTGCATTGGATAAGAATTACAACTATATTTATCTTCTTTTCTAATCTTGCCCTCCATCAATGTTTCTTCACAATCTTTACTTTATCAAATTTTTTTCATAAATGTGGTTTTGAAAAAAATTATAAATAAATAAATAAAAGTAAAATAAAAATACAAAATACAAAGCCATGTTTGGTTTGTTTTTTAATTTTTTTTAAATATAAACTAATTTGATAAAATAAGTATCAAAAATATTTTTAAATTTTTAAAAATTATTTTTAGCCTTCTAAAATATAAAATTATATAAAAATAATAAGTGTTTTAATTTTTAGTCAAGGGTAAAAGAGTCTTTTTTATTTTATTTCTCAGCTCAGAATATATAATCTCATCCCTACCCCATTACTAATAACCCTACAACTTTGTTAGATTAATTATCCATTAGATTTATAATCCTAAAACAAAATTTCAAAACAAACAGAGAATTATTAGACCCATAGAAATTTCAATCCCATACTCTAATCCTATCGATCAAGCATGCCCTAAATGCCTAAATCTTATTGTAACTATACTGTTGGGTTTAGGCCATGACTCAAGCTCGTCTTGAGTATTTTACATCTCTCACTTTGCATTATTCACGTATTATTGGACTTAACTAGATCTCTCTTATTTAACTCCTGGACAAACAGATACAGACTTTTATAGTCATGCTCATGCCCCTCCTTTTTCTTTTTCTTTTTTTTTAAAAAATAAAATAATAAGCAAGTTCCAATAAAAAATAAATAAATAAATAAAACTTGATATTAAGATTAATAAATAGAGTAATCTTAGAGCATCATGTAACTGTACTTCAAGAATACCCAATAACTACTTCTAATGGAGGTCATAATTAAATGACAATAAATAGCTCCATTGAGATGGTATTTGAATTCTAAAGACCATGTCACAAAAATTAGCACGCTGAACATTAAAGCACAATACTCATTATCACAATCAAGTGTTAAAAAATAAGTAAATACTTAAAAAGTAAAAGAAAAGTGTATATATATATGGGGTGGGGGTTTTGGGGGGGGGTGGTTAAAAGGAACTTGAGTGAAAGATTAAAAGGTAGCACTGAAAATTAAATATGCAACTTTAAGAAGAGGAGTTAATTTGAAAAAGATTAGATCTATGCAGTTTTATTTTTAAGTATAGAAAAATTATATTGATTAAATTTTAACGCGTGACCACACAAAATAAAATAAAATAAAAATCACCTCTTTCTAGAGCTTTTGTAAAGTTCTATGGAACATCCCAAGATCCCATTGATTAGAGCTTGAATCTGAATACAAATTGGTTGCTTAATCTTTTCTCAGAAAGTTTAATTCTCAGTACCAAGTTAACAAAAATCTTACCTAACCCCCCCAAAAAAATTTAAAATATGTAAACAAAAATGTAATCTTACCAATGAGAAAAACTGCAGCTCCAATGAATATAGCTCGGAACACCCGACCAGACTTTTCTGCAACATACTCGATCAACAATGCCAACAATCCCGCTAAAAGTGTTCCTATTCCTCTGTTCAATCCTTTGCATAATGTTGCTCCTGCCATTGAAGAAACAACATTCAAATTAATCAAACTGGCTTTAATCTTCAAACACTAATTTTACCTACATAGAAACCCAATATATAGTACCAGTCACAATTTTTTTAGAAATTGCAAAACATATACAATTTAAATCAGTTTTTATATGGAAGAAACTATGAAAATTTATGAAATTTGTGAAATTTCTCAATTTTTTGAAACTGAGCAATTTTTGTATGCGGAATTCTTAGTTTTTTTTTTTTTTTTTCATTTTCTTTTCTTTTGTTTATATTGAATATAAATCTTCTTTAAGAGATCTCCTCGAACCAAATTTAATGGGTTAAGAAAACTTTTGTGGGATTTAGTCTAATATATAAGTCCACATTTTGACACTTACAGAAAAATCTCCCCACTCAAAACAACCACAAATATATAAGTCCACATTTTGACACTTACAGAAAAATCTCCCCACTCAAAACAACCACAGTCGATCTAGACACTACGACTAGTTCTGTGACCGGTTTCTGTGCACAAGAATTATTACTAACCTGCAGTGAACTCAAGGACTACAACCACAGTCATGACAGCCCAAATGGCATTCTCTCCAACACCTTTGAACAATGGCTCCATTAGATACAACAATGAAACCAGTGTCAATGACAAACCAACTTTCAATGAGTGAATCACCCTCCTCGGATTGTCTCGGCCGACCTTCCAAACTGTCTTCCATGTCAATCCTGGCAATCTCTTCATTTTCTCACCCAAATTTTTAATTCTCTTCTTCATGTTCTTGACTCTGCCACTGGTCTCCTGGCTTTCTGTGTCCATGGCATGGCAACTCCAGAAAATATTCCTTCACTGGAAACAATTTAATGTGTATATGATATCACTGATTGTGGAAACTATATAGTATAAAAAATTATTCAACAGGTATAAGACTTTTAGTATAATGTGGGCCACCCCACCTTTCCCTGTGAGACAGGTGTTACCTATATATGATGCGTGTGTGAAATGAAAAACAGTTGTAGCTTATTACCAAAAAAAAGAAAAGAAAAACAGTTGTAGCTGTTACATGGGGAAGAGAAAATAAATTGAATGTAGATGGAATGGAACGAAGGAAAAAAAATTAAAGAAATCAAAAGTTGAATTTAACAATTTGAATTTGGACAATTATATAGGGATTATTTGGATATGAAAATGTGTGATATAGTTTCGTCCAGTGAGTTGTGTTTAATAGAGATATATGGATAATATTATAGAAATGAGATTTTGTATTAAGACCTAGTTTGGGATCTACTATATAATTCATCTTTTTATTTTTTTTCCATCACATCACCTCTCCACTTTTCTGCACATCTTTTCGTAAAAAGACAAAAAGTCACTACAACAAAAGCACACTTTAGTGGCACTACACTAGTGGCATATTTTTAGAAAATGTCACAAAAAATAATATTTGGTGGCACGCTTTTTAAAAATGCCACTAAACGACAAACATAAAAGGCTCTAGTGACATTTCAATAAATAAGTGTCACAAAACTAAAACAAAAACACATTTTAGTGACACTATATTAGTGGCATGCTTTTAGAAAATGCCACGAAAAAAATATTTGGTGGCACATTTAGAAAAATGCCACTGAATCACAAACATATAAGGCTCTAGTGGCATTTCAATAAAGAAATGTCATATCAATTTTATGGCATTTTATTAAAAGAATGACACAAGAAATTTGTTTAGTGACATTTATCAACAGATGTCACTAAACTTTAGTAGCAATGGCATTTCCTCAAAAATGTCACTAAGCTAGGTAGGTGCAATTTACTTTTTATGGCATTAGGCAAAAAGTGTCATAGACAATATTTATAGCATTTTGAAAAATGCCACTAAGCCAAAAACTTTCCAAGCTATATAATGGCATTTTTTAGAAAAACAAAAAATGACAATATATTTTCAAAAAATTTAAAATGAACAAAATAAATTAAACTCAATATAACATATTTTTTTAACTGTACTTGTTACATGTATAAAATTGATCAACGACTTTATATGACTAAACAGGAAAAAAAAATCCAAATTGCTCTCTTGTACAATGATAAAGTTTCATGAATTTTAGTCCCTCTAGTTTCAATTAACTCAATTTTCACTCTGAAATTACGAATTTATCTCAATTTCTTTCAATTGCTTATAATTGTTGGGTAAATTCCATCAATAATCCTTACATTTTGTTCTTCCATATAGTTTTAATTGATTCACTTTTGACACTTAATTTTAGATTTTACCCAACAATTTAGATTTATAATTGTGGGGTAAATTAATTATTTTTTATTTCTTAACCAAATTAATTTTTAATTTTTAAATTTTTTTTCTAAAAATCAAACTATACGTAGCTTAAGAATCTTTTGATAAGTCATTTCTTACGTTGGTAACTTATTTAATTATTTGTTAATTTTATGATATTTTTATCATCTGAGGCCTGTTTGGTAACCATTTCATTTTCAGTTTTCAATTTATATTTACAAAAATTTAAAAAACTGTCATAAAAACTTGTTTGATATTTTTTTTTGGTTCATAAATTGTTGTCTCAGTTTGTAAATTTGAGAAAAAAACGTAAATTCAAAAAATGAGTTCATGTTGATTTTTAAACATAAATTCAAAAAATGAGTTCATGTTGAGGTTAGGTGATCCTGATATTGATAATGGACATGGTTTTGATTGTCGTTGATTGGTGCTTTTGGTTGTTATTGACTTTTGATGCTATTGTTTGATATGGTCTAAAGTTTTACGGTTGTTACTTTTATATAATTTGTTGTAGTGTAGTGAACCAATTAAGTAATTAAAGCATTTGGCTTGCTTATCTACTATAGAAATTCATATCACTTTCAATTGTGATCATCTTCACTCTAGCACTTTGTACTAGTTTTTTTTAAAATATTATTTATTAATTTTAAATATACAATTACTTATGTAGTTAAATCTTGATTTACAGGTGGGAGATATAGTTGTTCTAAAAAGCATCATTAGGCCAACAGAAACAGTTGCAATCGGAGTACTTAAAAGCACAGACGCATCTAAAGAAGTAGAAGGGGAAGAATTAGGACCTGACTATTGGGAGGTACATGTTCAAGTGCCAATCAAACCTAATGAGAGCTTGATCCGATCATATGGACTTGTCAAAACAATTGGACAAGCTATTGGAGCTCATGTTGCTTGGCCTACTCCATTTGTGGTATATTTCTTTTACCACAAATTTTATTAACAAATTTATATTAACTTAATATAGTTTCAATTACCTTCATATGTTTATCTTTTAGATGCAGATTTCACAAGTTATGGATGCTAGCCGAGCATATTTATACAAGTGAGGTTGAGAATTTGGGGACTAATTTTATTTTTGATAATTTTTCTCTTCGGAATATGCATATCACTATGGCTTTTCAGAATTTATGGTCGGAATAATTTTCTTTTAAATTGTTTTTACTTTAACTTTGTTAGTGTGGTAGAATATTTAATAATTTTGGATTGAAATTTTAATGAATAATTGATTGTGGCTTTTTTTTTTTTTTTTTCATGTGATGATCTTATGGTGGTAATATTTGTTTATTATTATGAAAATATTACAGGATGAATAGATATCAAATTAATATATGATGTGGCAATTAATATTTAATTGTTTATAAAATTGATTCAATTTTTATAGGTATTTACGCATGCATAATTGTAGCTTTTAAAAGTGTCAATGAAAAAAATATATAAGTGGCATTTTATAGTAGTGATAGTAGCTTTGCAAAATGTCACTAAAATAAGTTCCAAAGGCATTTATATTTATTTAATGGCACAAATGAATTGGATTTAGTGGCATTTATGAAGGTGTTATAAATATCAATTGTGGCATAATAAGCGTCATTAAAAATTCATATCGTGGCATTTTTTAGATTGCAAGTCTTCTTTAATGGCACTTGATAGCGTCACGAATAGTGCCTACCATGACATTAAAGTGTCACTGAAAGGTTTTAATGTTGATGGTGTAATGACACTTGTAGATGTCACTAACTCTTTTTTTAATGGCGCTTAATAGTGCCACAAATAATATCTATCATGGCATTAAAATGTCATTAAAAGATTTTAGTCATGATGGTGCAGTGACACTTGCAAGTATCTACCGTGGCACTTGTATCTACCGTGGCACCGATAGAAGTGGCACTTGTTCAAAATGCCACAAGACCAAAAAATGTCATTAGAAGAATAGTTTTGTGACACTTTCAAATGTCACTAAACTAAGAAAATGTTGTAGTAAGTGTACTTTTTTAGGACACCCCAAACCAACCCTAAATTTTCATGCAAAGCTATGTGACTTTTTAAATTATTTCCTTTCAAGTAAAAGCATTTATCATTTTGATTTATAATTGTAACTAAATATCTCTCACATTAATCTAAATGAATTTGTATATAAAAAAAATTATTTATGGAGTGAAAGGATTGATTGATGTTACTCTCGCATTCACATTCTCTCCCATTAAAGCAATGGAAATATTAAAGTTGTATAGCTTACAAGGACATAACATAATAAAGAGATATAAAAAAATATTAATTTTTTTTTTTTAAAAAAGGGAGACCAAATTAAGTGGAAATTTTTTTAAAAATTTTTGTTTGTTTGAGGGAGGCCGAAACCAAAGGAAACTAAGAAGAACAAGAACCACATGTCTTATAGCCTGAGCAAATTAAGTGGAAACTTTTAGGTTGCGTTGGGTGTGAGTTTCAAATGAAGTTTTTGTCCTTATATTTGAATGTTATATTTTGGTTTTAATTTTTAAATTATGATTCTAAATCAATTTTAAAGTACATTTTGAAAAAAGGTTTGGTAAATCAGATAATTTTTTAATTTTTTGTCTACCCGGATGTTCGGCCAGTCATCCAGCTGGTTGATTGGAATAGTATTTTTTTTTTTTTTTTGTAATTGCCAATCGCCACCTATTATTTGGGGAAAAAAATTATATTTATTTTTAATATTTTTTAAATATACAATTTTTTTTTGACCAAAATGACATTATTTTTTTGAATTGAATTTTAAAAAAAGTTTGGTTATGAGTTTTGAATAAAATTTTCAATAGAATTTTGAGTATGTGTTTGGTTATAAGTTATAAGTTTTTAAATTAAATTTTGAAATTTTTTTTTGAAACTCATAACCAAACAATTGTTCTCATTTTATATGTCACAACAAAAAATCAAAACTCAATTCAAAACTCATAACCAAACAAATTATCTCTTTTCAAATAATAATTCCAAAACTCACAAACTCGAAATATAATTCTATTCTGAAATCATAATTCTAAAATTCTACCAAACGCTACCTTACTTTCTTTTTGTCTTTCTTTTTTTTTTGGCATGAGGGAGATCGAAGCCAAAAGAAACAAAGAAATAACAGAAACTACAGACCCTATAGCCTGAGTAAAATAAGTGGAAACTCACAAACTTCTAACTTTTTTTTTGTTATGATAGTAGAGAGAGAGAGAGAAATAATATGTATTATATATTCAATGAATCAATACAATAGGGGAAGCCTGTATATATAGGCTAAGAAACCTAGGTGTATAGGAATACAAGAATCCTAAGTATAACAGGAATAGATGACTGCTAACACCCCCCTTCAAGCTCAAGGTGGTAAGGCAGATAACAACTTGAGCTTGGTGAGGAGATCAGAGAAGTGTCCTCGAAGATGAGCTTTGGTGAAGAGATCGGTAGTCTGATCAGCGGAGGTAACAAAGAGAAGACGAACAGTGCCCTTAATAACATGTTCGTGTATGAAGTGTCAATCTATCTCTATATGCTTGGTGCGATCATGGAAGACATCATTATGTGCAATCTAAATAGCACTTTGGTTGTCACAATATAGATTGGTGGCAGCAGAATGAGAAACTCCCATATCAAAAAGAAGCCAACGAAGCCACACAAGCTCCTGAGTAGTGTCAGTAAGAGCACTATACTCAGCCTCGGTACTAGAACGTGCAACAAGTGTTTGCTTCTTACTACGCCAGGCAATAAGAGAGTTGCCTAAGAAGAAGCAAAACCCAGTAGTAAAACGACGGTCAGTAGGATCTCCTGCCCAATCTGCATCAGAAAAAACATGGAGCTGTAGAGAAGATTGGGCGAAATAGTGAAGACCATGAAATAGAGTGCCTTTAAGATAGCGCAAAATGCGAATTAGAGCATTATAGTGTGGAGAACGGGGGGCAGCCATGAATTGACTGACGATGTGAACAACATAAGCAATATCTGGACGAGTAATCGTGAGATAGACAAGACTGCCAACTAGTTGACGATATTTGGTGGCATCAAACAATAAAGAACCTTCAAGAGGTGTAAGACGAGTCTGAGGATCAATAGAAGTGGTGGCAGTCTTGCAGTTGGTAAGGCCAGCACGAGCCAAGAGATCAGAAGTATACTTGGCCTAGGTAAGAAAGTAACCAGATGAATCTTGAGAAATTTCCAAACCAAGGAAATAGCTAAGCAAACCCAAATCTTTCATCTCAAATTGACGATGAAGAAACTGTTGGAGACTAGAAATACCTGCGGGGCCATCTCCAGTGATAATCATATCATCCACATAGAGGAGAAGGAGAATAGTACCATGCTCCGTCTTATGTATAAACAAAGCAGGATCATGGGCATTGGAGGAAAAACCAAAGTCACGAATGATAAAGCTGAACTTGGCAAACCAGGCACACGGAGCTTGTTTCAAACCATACAAAGCACGACGAAGTTGGCAAACTTTGTTTGATAGAACAGAAGAACCAGGAAGAGGTTGCATACAAACTTCCTCAGTGAGATCACCATTGAGGAATGCATTCTTGACATCCATCTGATAGAGACTCCAGTGGCGAGCAGTAGCCACTACAAGTAAGCTGCGAACAGAAGTAAGGCGAGCAACAGGAGCAAAGGTTTCTTCATAGTCAATGCCATATTCTTGAGAAAACCCTCGGGCGACAAGGCAAGCTTTTTAACGCTCAATGGAACCGTCAGAATGAGTTTTGAGCTTGTAAACCCATTTGCAACTAACAGCACTCTTGCCAAGAGGAAAATCAATAACATCCCAGGTGTGAGTTTTATCGAAAGCCTGTAGTTCATCAGTCATAGCTTGTTGCCAAAGAGGGTTAGAACAAGCCTCTTGATAGGAAGTAGGTTCATGAGAGGAAAAGGCAGTGGAACCAACAATATAATCACGGAGAAGAACAGAAGGTTTCCGTACCCGTGTGGAATGACGCTCTGGTGGAGGAGGAACCTTAACAGGAGAAGGTGTAGGGCCATCAGTAGACACAGGATCCTCAGGATGAACAATAGGCGCGGATGGCTGTGGAATCATGGAGTCAGAATCTGCATCAAAGTTATTAGAAAACAGGTCTATAGAGAGATTAGTAAAGAATGGTAAGTGGGTGGACTGTGGTAAGTGGAACTTGGAAAGGATTGAAAACATTTTGTGTTCCCAGAAGACCACATGATGGGAAATACGAAGTCGCTTGGAGATAGGATCCCAACAATGATACCCTTTATGTTCTATACCATACCCTAGAAAACAGCAAAGACGAGAGCGATGTTCTAGTTTAGTGCGTTCATGAGGCTGAAGTAGAACAAAACAAGTAAAACCAAAAAATTTAAGAGTGGTATAGTCAGGAGAAGAACCATACAAGCGCTCGTAAGGGGAAGTATTAGCTATGACAGGTGTAGAGACACGATTTATGGTGTAGATGGCAATGAAAGTAGCTTCTCCCCAAAACTGTTCAGGACAAGAAGAAGAGATGAGAAGAGCCCGGGTAATGTCTAGAATATGACGATGCTTCCTTTCGGCGTGTCCATTTTGTTGGGACGTGCCATCACAAGAGCGATGGGAGAGTGTACCATTAGCCCGAAGAAAAGACAGAAATTCAGAATCCAAGTACTCTTGAGCATTATCAGAACGAAAGATTTTAATAGTACGACAAAACTGAGTACAGACGATGGTAGAGAAATCATAATAAATCTATTTAAGTTCAGATCGATTTTTGAGAAGAAAACGCCAAGTATAACGAGAAAAATCATCAACAAAAATCACAAAATATCTTGACCCCCTCATGGTCGGTATGGGGGATGGTCCCCAAATATCTGAATGCACAAGATCAAAATGAGCAATAGACATAGAAATACTATTATTAAAAGATAAAGCAAGTTGTTTAGCAATTTGACAAGATAAACAATCGACATCGTCACGACGGACACGACCTAACTAACCACTAGAAACTAAAGTTTTCAAACAACTAAAAGAGACATGTCCTAAGTGGCAATGCCAAAGCTGTAAAGAAGACAAGGTAAAAGTAGATGCAGCAGGGGAAGCAATGGGAGCAGCAGTAGATGAGTTGTGGGGAATGTGAAAATGGGTAAGCTCGAACAGACATCCATGCTTACGACCTATCCCAAGGATCTATCTTGTCTGAGGGTCCTGCACCAAACAACCATTAGTAGAAAAGGTAACGGTTAGACCAAGTTCACATAACTGACCAACAGAGATAAGGTTCAAGTGAAGAGCACGAATGTGATAAGCATCCGAAAGAGACACAATAGAAGTAGAAATGTGACCAGTGTGATGAACAGTCATATGAGAACCATCAGCAGTGTGGATGATGGGGACAGAAGATGATGATGATATAGAAGAAAACATAGTGGAGTCAGAAGTCATATGATTACAGCATGCGGAATCAAAATACTAGGAAGAATTACCTGTAGTCACTGAAAGAGCAGTAGAGGGAAGAGTACCGGTTTTGGCAAGCACCTGTTGGATGAGGGACTCAACATCATCCATAGAGAATGAAGGAGTAGCGGAAGTAGTGGAGTGGGAAGGAGAAGAACCCTCAGAGGCAACAGCAGCAGAGCGAGAACCTTGGCTAGGTTTGGACTGATACCCAAAACGAGAAGACCGTTTCTTGGAAGAGGCTCGAGGGCAATGGCGTTGGAGATGACCGGGAGCAGTCTTATAGCAAGTAAAGCATTCGCGAACCGGGCACTGAACAAAAGAGTGAGTGGCAGGCAGGCCACGATTGAGACAATACTGGCATGAACTAACAAGCAGTGAAGATGAGAAACTTTAAGATGATGGCGTAGCAAGAACAGAATCCATATTCTGAGATTTAAGAGTCCCAAAATGAGTCTCCTCTGATAAAAGTTCAGTAATGGCTTGCTCTAAAGTGGGCAAGGGCAGACAATGGAGCAATGAAGCACATACGGGTTCAAAAGTTCTATGGAGAGCCATAGGGAATTGTAATAGTCGTTGATGATCCCGATAAGTAATAAACAGCTACGCATCCTCATAATATGCCCATGTAGGCTCAGAATGAGCTAGCTGGTCCCAAACAGACGACATCTGGGATAAGAATTCATTGATAGACTGACCGGGTGCCTGGCGCATGTGATGAAGAATCTGCAACAGTTGATATTGATGAGCATGGCCAATGGTCTGATAACGGTCCCTCAAGAAATCCCAAATTGCTTTGGCAGGGGAAGTAATTTGAGTATCATCCTGAAACCGACCAAATTGAAGATGAATGGAAGAAACGGAGGTAGCCCGGAACCAGGTGATAATTTGATAATTCTTACTTTCCCATTCATCAAGACGGTTATCGAAGGCAGAGTCAGTCTCATCCTCCTTCGGGGTAGGTTTGGGAAGAGCACCAGTAATGATCCGCCAAAGGCACCTCCCTTTGATGAAGCTAGAGAGAGCTTGGGCCCAACTAACATAATTTGACCCATTAAGGATAACAGAAATAGAGTGGATGTGGTCGGTACGATCCATGATGAGCAAATAGGACCAAAAAATGAAGATAGTGCTTTGTAGAGGCTGATTTTGCCAAAACAGAGCACACCAGCGGATTTAGGAGGCCAAAAACAAGTAAGATATGATCTGAACAGGCCAAAAACACGGCCTAGAAGGTGGCAAAGTGGTTGGTCAAATGGCTGGTCAAAAGTGTTTGACCAATTAAGGGAACCAAGCAGTAGGGCTAACGTCACAGCAAGGAGGCTGATGTCAAAATGCGCGGCGCACGTTAGTAGAGGGGTGCGCGACGCACAATAGCAAGAAGAGCAGTGGCGCACAGGCAGTCAGGGCTGACGTTAGCGATGACGTCAAAACACGCGGCTCACGGTAGCAGGTGAGTCCGCGACGCAAAATAGCACGAAACAGGGGCAGAGGCACGTCCAGACGCGTATAAAACGGCATAGCGCGTGTCTATCTTCTGGCGACGCGTGACAGCGCGTGTGGAGGCGGATGAAGATGATCCTGATGGTGTTGGCTTCGTCTTGAAGAGACGAAAAAGATGGTGTAGTCCAATCGGTGAAACAAGATAGGACTAGAGACCCCCCCCAAAAAAAAACCAACGCGAAAAGAAATTAATCTGCCAGACAAGAGAGAAAAGAAACGTAAAGAAGAAGAAGAGGAGGTTAGGAAAAAATCCTAGGCTCTGATACCATGTTATGATAGTAAAGAGAGAGAAAAAACAATATGTATTATATATTCAATAAATCAATACAATAGGGGAAGCATGCATATATAAGCCAAGAAACCTAGGTGTATAGGAATACAAGAATCCTAAGTATAACAGGAATAGATGACTGCTAACACTACTGAAAGTGAAATAAGTGATTAGAAGTTTTCATAATGCACGGGAAAAAATTGAGCATCCTAGGTTTACATAATCATGAAGTGAGAATAATGATATATATATATATAAATAGAAAATTTTTAAAGTATCTTATTATAAACTTATATCTATTCATTTTAAATTAAAAAAATTGATCAAAATGATTTGTTATTTTAAAAATATGCTAGTGTTATATCATTTTGGTAGAATTTTTTTTTTTTTTTGTACAAAATTTATGTTTGTAAATCAATTTTCTGTTTTGCTTTTGAGGAGCCTGTTTGGTTGCTTGGAAATCAATTTATTCCCAACCTACGGACAATAATTTCTTCAACAAAAATGTTTGAAATCTCTAAATAAGGAGCTCTAGAGGTAGGTCTCACCTTATGATTTGATGTTTTGACTTATGATGTCATATTATTTTTTTTTATGTATTCACACATCACTAGAGTTGGCATTACAACTCCAACTCTAGTGTCATCACTCTTTCTTCAATGGGGATGTGATCATTTCATATGACTTTTATTATGTGTTCTTTTTTTTTTCTTTTTTTTTTCTTTTTTTGTGAAAATTTCAAAATATCTTCAATAATGTTTACACAATTCTCACTCCCACTTTGGAAGTTCAGTAATGATTTTTTTTTTTTTTAAACTTTAATATAATTGTGATTCATTACTTTGTAATGGAGTTAATGGTTAGAACATACATTAGTGGGAGGGATGAGTAACGGATATTTCGATCTGTCTAAATCAACCAAATCAAGTTGATTCGCTGCATTTTAGACAAATGCGTGATGACGTGCGGACGGTTACGGATTAATTTTTTTCAATTTGCCTAGTTTTGGACGGATAGCGAATTTGAGGTTCCTTTTACCGTAACCAAACTGCCAAACCGCGAGCATTTCAAGTAATTTGTAAGATTTTGTATTTTCAATTTGTTTAGATATTTTGTTTGTATTTTCAATTGAAAAGAAATTTAGATATTCTGTTTGTGTTTTTAATTGAAAAAAAGTTTAGATATTCTGTTATTTTTTTAATTTGTTTTCAATTTGAAAATCCTTTGTCATTTTTTTAAAAATTAAATTAAATAGTTATTGAATAAAAAAATAATGAAATAGTTTTGATAATATATGGTTTTCTTATATGTATTTATTATTGATATTTGACAATTTACTTGATAATTTTTTGGTTATGTTAAGTTG